TCTTCCGAATAATGAGTGTGGTGGAGGTAGAAATTTGCCCACATCAGACAGATCAGTTGCTCAGACCGCACGTGACTTAAGTGCAAATTACGTAATCAATTACTTTAATTAATTAATAAAACGTTTAATAACTCAATAAGTTCGTGAATTATTTAAAATTTATAAAAAAAATTATAATTAGATTCTTAATTTTATAAATTTTTTAGAATTGGTTTGTGGCAGTTTAAATTTCTCAAAAAAATATAATTTGTAAAGTTTTAAAATTTTAATTATCAGAATTTTACAATATCAATGACTCATTTATTATTTTTTTTAGCCAATTAAGTTTAGTCCAATTGAGAAGGATCAAATTCATATTTCAAAAAATTGATGATGCAAGGACTTTATTAATAGATAATAAACGTTCATAGAGTTTTGAGATTTGTCTTCATCCTAATGAGATCTCACGATTCAATTTATCTAAGCTTTAATTCAATGTATAATTTTTTTTAATTTGAAAATTTAACAAAAAATATCTAAATAATCCACAAACATATAATATTATTTGCCTTAAAATCTCCGAGATCAAAACAGATTCACATTGAGCCGCTGCAATATCCATCTGCGTCGGCACAAACCATGGGAAGGACCTTGATTAGTCAATTTGATATATTTCGATGGTATATCAAAATCAAAATGTTGCTGAGATTTAAGATTCTTTAAAATATTATTTAGTATTAATTATTAATTTTATACTACTAGTTTCGTTGTTGGATGCGTATAAATTTGTTAATGTACAAGGTAATGTAAATGCGGAGCTGGCATTCCCTTTTTAGCTGTCTCTATCTCTCACCACCTTTTTATTTATTTATTTATTCGGTACTTCCCTACCATTGTATACGAAATACCATTGCTCTCTTTCTCTTGTTCTGTATTTTATTATGTTCTTCATCTAACCCGCTCCCTCTCTTTAACTCCATGCAACTGCTTCTGCACTCGGTTCTGAACTTTCTTGCCCCATTGCACTTCCAACTTGTTGCTGCTCAAACACACATGAAGGGGCTAGTAAGTACGTTGTCTTGTCATACACACCACAACAATTTTTTGTTTTAAACTACTTTTGTTCTTTCACTCTTGTTTTAAGCCGGGGCTTGTTTGTTTTGAATCTCAAGTAGCCTGCAAAATCTTTTTGTTTCACTCACTTCAACACCTATAATAGGTTTTCATGTTTCATGTTTGTTTCCATGTTTGGCTTTTACATTACACTTCCAAGTTTGTATCTTACTCTTCTAATGTCTGTGTATGTAGCCATCATAAATTATGTCATCATCTAGTTATGATCTATTTCTTTTTTAATAAGAATTCTGCGGAGACAACAAGAGAGATTAGAGATTGGTGACTACGCTAAGGTAGGTTGGTTGAGGTGTTGTTTTCTCGTATGTGAACTGAAAATGAATGTAGAGATCTTTATAGTTCCTTGGTACGGTATTATGGTTTAATGTTTTATTTGGCCTTTTTCATAATATTGTCCAATTGGAAAGTGGAATTTCACTATTAAACGGTTCGGTTAATTGATTTACGTGTTCAGTTTGCTTTCTGATAAAGCATTTGCATATCTCTAGAGTGTATAGGTTATGTTTTTCAAAAATTATATCCAATTGAATAGGTTGTTACTTGTTACTTGTTAGTGTTTCAGAACTCAGAAGCACTTTCTTATTACTTAGTACTTAGCCCTCTCAACCGTTGTTGTGAAGTTGGAATTGTACTTTAATTAATCTCTTTCTCTATCTTCTTTTTAGGTGGCGGTGCTTTTACTTGTAGCAATAAGCACTGTTGTGGAAAGCAATGGAGAAGACAATGGTGGACCATGTAAACAGAATGCATTGAAAGTTAGGCCTCACAGTGTGTCGATCTTGGAGTTTGGGGCAGTTGGAGATGGAATAACAGTGAACACAGTTGCGTTCCAAAATGCAATATTTTATCTCAAGTCATTTGCTGACAAAGGTGGTGCTCAACTGTATGTTCCATCTGGCAGATGGCTTACTGGGAGTTTTAACCTCACCAGTCACCTCACTCTGTTCCTTGAGAGAGGCGCTACCATCATTGCATCTCAGGTTTTGATCTTCAATTTTAATTTTAGTGCCTTTTCTGCTAACTTGCCCATTCTATTAGAAGAAAGCACTAATGTATAACATATCGTTTCTCTAACTCTACATGAAAACTAAGACTTCAAGGAAAGTTGAAAGTATTTTAATAAAACACCTACTTTAATTTGCTCACTCTTGAAAGTTGAAATTTTTAATATATGCCTTTTATCTTATATCTCTTCAGGATTACTCTCATTGGGAAGTAGTGGATTCCCTCCCTTCATATGGTAGAGGAATTGACGTTCCAGGTGTGAGATATCGCAGCTTGATCTATGGACAAAATTTAAGAGATGTGGTAGTTACTGGTAAGAATTTTCTTCAATTACCATTTAATCTTTTAACTATTTCTCTCAAAGGATAAGCAATGCAATTCTGCCTTAAATTCATATATTTAACAAATTCACCAGGTGATAATGGAACTATAGATGGGCAAGGCTCTATCTGGTGGGAGCTGTTCAGTTCTCATTCCTTAAATCACAGTCGACCAAATCTTATAGAATTTGTTGATTCTGTTGATGTCATAATTTCAAATTTGACTTTTTTAGACTCTCCTGCTTGGGACATACATCCAGTATATTGCAGGTACCAGTAGCTCATATTTGTGTTTGCTGTTCACTGACTCATTTCTCAAAGGAATTTTTTTTACCTCTCTTTTTAATCTTTCTTCTTTCCACAATGCAGTAATGTTCAAATTCAAAACATAACTTCTCGTGCACCAGCCGAATCCCCTTACACAAGTGGTATAGTTCCAGGTAAATTAATAACTTTTAGTTGTCTCTTTCCTGATTAGGATGCTGAACACAAGTCCTTTAAATCATAAACTTTTTAGTTAGCTAAAAAGTAAAAGCCTTTAATAGGAGTTTTAATTATAACCAAGGAAAGTATAGTTTACTGTTATTTGGTTTATTAGTTCCTTTAACATACCTCATTTTGTTTCTTCAATTCGTGTAGGTGTTTCTTATTATTTTGCTATTTTCGACATGCAATTTAGTCGCTTAGTGATAGTTTCTTGCATTGCTTTCCTTAGAGCTTGTTATGTAAACTAGTTATTTTTGGGCATCATGACTCATTAGTCTTTGCAACTTTCAGATTCTTCTCAGTATGTTTGCATTGAGAACAGTAACATTAGTACTGGCCATGATGCAATTGTGCTGAAGAGTGGTTGGGATCAGTACGGTATTTCCTATGGAAAACCAACCTCGAGTGTCCACATCAGCAATGTTTACCTACAATCATCGTCAGGTGCTGGTTTGGCACTTGGGAGTGAGATGTCTGGGGGAATACATGATATTTTTGCAGAAAAGCTTCATATACTCAATTCTCCTATTGGCATTGAGCTGAAGACAACTAGGGGTAGAGGTGGCTATATGAAAGGCATCTTAATTTCTGATGCAGAATTGGAAAATATTTGCTTAGGGATTAGCATGACAGGATTCTCCGGTTTCCATCCAGATGATGAGTATAACACAAGTGCATTTCCAGTTGTTGGTAGCATCACGTTCAAGAATGTGATTGGTGCAAATATTGGTGTTGCCGGGAATTTTTCAGGATTTGTTGAATCACCATTTTCAACAATCTGTCTTTCAAACGCGACCTTTTTTGTCAGTTCTGAAGCATCTCCTTCATGGTTCTGTTCTAATGTAGTTGGTTTCTCTGAAGAGGTGTTTCCTGAGCCATGTACTGATCTCCAGAGTTCGGATTCCAAGTTTTCTTTTTCTTGTTTTTCTTCCCTATATCCACAATTAAGTAATGTCTCAGCCTTTTTGGATCATCACCCACAAGAATTATAGTCGCTCATTTCATTCACTCTATACATGATATTGATATACAAAATTCAAATCCATCTAGAGGTTCTTCAACTTCATCACAATTTTCCAATAAACGAAAGTTCATGATGCAAATGTGTTCCTTCTCTTCAACATTTCAATCGACCTTCCATTGTTGGTGTCAAGTCCAAATATATAATGTATATTTATTTATGTACAGCCTCAATTTCTTCATTCATGTAAGATTTTTTGATGGCGGTGTACAGGCTAAGACGCTTTTTGCTTTGGACGTATCATTTAAAATGTGGAGTGCTACCTTGATTCTTTGTCCATGAATTGGCACTGGGGTACACTGTATTGGTTTTGCTAAAGCAAAGCTGACAGTACAGTATTCTCTTTACTTCACAGTATATGATTGCTTTTGTTGACTTGCTTGATATAACAGAAGCATGCATGGTGATGGAATTTATTAGCTTTGAATTCTATAACGTTTTTTTCTTCTTGTCACGACATGCATAGCCAATCTTGAACTAATTTGAGGACAGGAATATTAGGAGTTAGATTTTGATGAACAAGGATTAAAGGTTGGTGTCCAAATGTTAGGTGAGTTGTCTTGATTCTTCCGCTTTTTCTTCCTTTTCACCGTTGCTAGACAGCTATGCTTGACTAAATCTGATGGATTGCGAGTGGCCACCAATTTCATCCATGTGGCAGTTTATTGTCCCACTCCACCCTGGAGCTGGGGAACCTGAAACAGCTACTTACATCACTTCAACTTTCTTATGTACCATCTAATTAATGGAACTGCCACTAAACAAACAATTGGCATGCAAAACATGGTGATCACCGTCATCAAATCTATACGCGATACGTTACTTTCGTCATTTACATTTTATTCACGAATATAAATAAGTACTATGATGTTTTTTTTTTTAAAAACCTCGTAACTGTAAGTATTTTCCAAAATAAAAAGTGAGTCTTGTACGCTTTTAAATCAAGGAATGATTAATTCGTGGTTACTTTGAACAATTATTTAATGTTGATTGCGTTGGTATACATATAGATAAGATATTTTCTCCCTTTAGCAAAAAAGAAGGAAATAACCAGCGGGGCATTATTAAGACCAACTAAAGGGAAAACAAAATTCTGCGATAGTTAGCATTTAATAAATTAATATAAACAAACTGAAAGAAAAGCAGCTGGTGGATTAATTGAGGCTGCCAAGCATTTTCCCCAGTGAAGTAAACCTTTCGTCCCCCTCCTCCCACAGTAAAAATGCTTACCCTATCCATGAATATAATTCAATTTTATTTATTATTATTATTTTTTTACTTTTTATCTCCTATCAATTCAAACGTTGTTTGAAGAAGGAGAATGTTTTAAGTTAATCCAATAACTTGATGACATGGTACTTCAGAAGGAGAATGTTTTAATTTCAATTTGTTTGCAATATCTAATTTTTCCTATATTTTTTACAAAATATTTTCAACAAGACTCTATGAAGTAATTATGACATTAGTTAGATGGTTAGTTAGGGGTTTCCTTTCCTTTGTACATAAAGTGTAAGCTCAATCGTAACACAATCCAATTCTTAATTTTTACAATTTTTTTCTATGAATATTTATAGAGAATTTAAACAAGCAAGAAAAATAAAATAACTTTTATAAATTAAAGATTAATTTCTCTAAAAATTAAAAATAGTTCTTAAAGAAGTTTCTGTAAAATATAAATTAACATATACACAAACTAATTTTAACTTTTAAAAAAAATATTACTTTTTATTTTCTTCTTTTATAAGTGTTTATAGATAAATCTATTCATACAAATTTAATTTCAAATCCTCTTATTCTCTTGACTCCTCTCTATATTTTAGATTCTTCTATATTGTTAAGTAAAAAAGCAAGTTTTTGCAAATAACTTTAAATTTTAGACTCAAAGAAGGTTGAAATGAGAAGTGTCAAAATGGTTTAATTGAACGGATTTAATCATATTTTTCAACCTCCAAAACTCATAATCTAACTTGCACACCCTTCAAGGTGTCAACCTAACATGTGAAATGATGCATTAAATTGGATTGGAGTTGGATTATCAAGTTGATCCATTGAGTTGTCTAATTTTTTTCATGAATTTTACTTATTGACATTTATCTAAGTTATTTTATTTGTGGTTCATTTGCTTGTTAATATTTATTTGTGATTACTATATGTATTTAATTTATTATTGTTTGTAGACTTGTTTGTGATTGCATTGTGATGTTGATGAACTTATTTTATTTTTATTGATGGACTTACTAACATGTTTTATTAAACATTTGAATCATTTGATTTATTACTAGTTTTCTAACATTTTTTTTCTTGTTTAATTATATTTCGTCGTGTTTTTTTTATAAAAAAATTAAGACAAGTAAAATAAAAATAGTTTATAAATATTTTTTAATGGGTTGATAGGTCAACCTAACTCACCATAAATTAAATTGAGTTTAAATTTTCAATCTAATGAAAAAATAAGTTCAACCCAACCTAACTCATTTTTTAAAAGATGAGAAAGAGTTGGTTACATTAATTCATTTGACATTCCTAATTAAAATTACCTATACTTTTTTTCCACTCAAAATATCTCTCAATCAAGAATTAAAAGTTGATCTCTAAAAAAAAAAAAAAAAAAAGTCCTACTTAACAACTTAAAATCTGCCAACCTGATTTTTTCATAACCACATGAATATGGTTGTCTATCAACTATTCCACATATTATTAAAAATTACACCTTAATTTAACACATTTACTCTTACAATATGCCATTTTGAAAACATACATTCAACTTCTACTGCAACTCACTACCTTATCATTTTTTTCTTTCAAATTTTCTCTTAATTTTCCATTACATCATTCAACATATATACCAATTTCTCTCTTTTCTTTCATTCCCCCCCCCCCCCCCCCCCCTCTCTTCTTTCCACCCAAATGGGGTGTATATATATTGTTATTCTTTTAAATCTATTCATAACTTAGAGTTACATTTTTCTAGTGTTCAATTGATGCAGTATTTATTGTTTTTCTTGATTTTCGTGTGTAATTTGCATGCTTCACGTATAGGTGTGTTCATTAGACCTAATTGACTTGATGAATTTGAAAATTTAAATCAAACCAAGTGAATTAGTTCAATTAATTAAATTTTCACTTTAAATTTTAATTTAACCAATTATAAATGGTTTGGTTCTCAAATTTACCCTTTTTCAACAAATGATGATTCAATCAATTATTTTTACTTTAATTAACAAATTTTAGGCTTTGATACATAATTTTTCTTCTTCTATTTTTTTATCATTTATCCTTTATATATTTTGATTTTCTTTTGGTATTTAGTGTTATCAAGTATCTTATAAAATTTTGTCATATTTATGGATGGGAATCAAGTTATTTAGAATAACTCTCCATTTATTATATTCATAATTCATCATTTATATTAAAATTTAATAATTTAATTATTAAATTGAAAGTTTTTATTGAGTAGATGAAATTTACAAATTTTTATAAAATTTGAAAGTTATTTAATACTCCTTCCTCTTCTTTTTTACTTGTTGTCTTTTTAATAAATTTTTCTTTCTAGTTAAGATAATATTAATTATTATATTATCAATTATATTCTTATATTTTACTTAATTTTTAATTAATTTACATATAAAATTAATATTTAGTTATTATAAAAATAAAAATAAAAGAAAATATAATAAAAAATATTAAAATTATTTTATAAAATTAAAAAAAATTACGTTTCGTGATTTATGTAAAATAATCTTAAATAATATTATAAATAAATAGATATAGCTCTTCATTATATAAATTTAAATTAAAATATAATATATTTAAAATGAATTTTCTTAATTATCTGAACCTCATATTAAAGCATATCATATATGTAAAATCTCAAAAGAAGCAGAAGATATATACTCCAATCCACAGGATTATGGATATATTAACAATTGGCGTGCTACAGCCTGAATGGTGGGAAATTAAACAATGTTAATAATTCTCAACTCAACTATGCAAAACTACATATTGATAATGTGATGATCAAAATAATTAATTGAATTGTAACAACGGGAGTCATTATTATAAGATACGTGTTTTCTTTGCAGGACATGCAGACGAATTCCAGCTTAACCCAGACTTCCCTATCCCTTCATTATCTGCCATCATATCCATTACCAATCCTTCAAAATCCTCCAACATGCCTTTCTCATCCTAAAATTAATTAAGATCCAAGACGTATTTTATAAATATTATATTTAAAATAAGCAAAAATATGGAACGCCATGTACACGTGGGGTCTTTGTTTTCAAGTTATAAAATCAGATAGAGAATTTTTCAACAGTGAATATATGCTTAAACATAAATATATGATTCCCACGCTTTTTTTTTTCTTAAACAAAGACACCCCGTATCTAAAATCCAAGAATTCTTTTTCATATACATGTACCGAGAATTAAAATCCTGAGTCCTGACAAGTGACTACTAAATATTTAAAAAATAATATTATTTATCAACCATATCATATCACACACCTTACACCTTATTAGACACTAATTTAAGTACACATGTCATAAGTTTAATAAATAACTAAACGGAAACTAAAGTAAAGAGGGATTGTGTGAGTGTGAGGTACCTTGGTTCTGACATTCTGCATCATCAAGGCCATTTCTTGCATGAAATCAACAAATCCCTGTAATTTCCATAGTTGCGAAATTCAGCTACCAAATCTCATACGATATAATTAATTAACTAATTAACAATTAAATGGTTTCCAACTCTTAAAAAACCGAACAAAGTAAAACATTAACTAGGGAGAAATCCACCTCATCATCGTCCTCTCCAATCAGACCAAACAAGCCAGCATCATATATCCTTCTCTTCCCTTTATTGGACAAAACTACATTAACAGCGGAAATTAAGCAGAGACAATCAGTTACAGCCTCATTATATGTAAATATAACAGATACATAAACATAAGTTTATTCTTAATTTGTTAACATAAAGCACCTGAATAAGCCTCTTGAACACACTGAAATCGCTTTTTGGCTTCTACCGCTAGCTTTGGGTCCTTCATCCACCTATCGGGATGCCACTTCTTTTAATCCAAAACATCAACACAAATGCACTAATTCAGACCCTTGTTAAATAAATAATAGTAATATCATTAATTAAAGTTACACAAACATAGTACAACATTTGAGCGCTGGGATTATATGTTAATACCAGAGCCATCTTACGATAAGCACATCGAATTTCGTGATCGGTGGAATTTTTTCCAATCCCAAGCACTGAATAGTAACAAACGGCACCGTTATTCTCAACGATGGTGGACATGGTTGCATGCAAAAACAGAAATCAAAAGGTGAAATAAATATAATGTTATTTCAATGCTTGAGTTATAGTATGGTTAATTAGCAGCTGCAGTAGGAACTTTTGGTGCATAAAATACATAATGTAATGGAGGTTGTGCTAGGTCCCTGTAGTTTATTGTTGAAAAGATTTGAAGTGAAAGATTCATGTTGTCGACCCAGAAAGTTCCAGAGATTTCTTTTGGGTCTTCCACATCCACACGTTGCATGACTTATAAAGCCCTAAGATTTCACCACAAACTGATTTTGCCTCGCGCATTGCCTAGCCACAAAAATTGAATTTTTAATTTCTCTCCCCAATTCGTTCAGTTCACCAATAAATTGGAAAAGAAAAAGAAAAAGTGGTGGTCCTCCTAGTTTATTTATATATGTGGCTGTTAATTTACAGCTTCCTCTCCATCTTTCGTCAAGTATGTTTAAAATATTTATTCAACAATGGTGTGGGAACATTTAACTTGCCGCAAGTAAAACAATCCTATAACAAATGATTGATCCGTGTAATGAAGTTTAAGTATCAATGAGTTTAACAATGATACACTTACCATATAAAATAATTTTGCACTATCAATTAATTAAATATTATTATTATAATGAATTTTTTACTTATTTATTAAACAGTCAACAACTTACAATAAATGGTAACTTATGATAGGAGGACAGTATAAAATTACTTTATTCTATTAGTGTATCTCCTATTTTTATTAATTATATCAATTATTTTAATTTTTTTAATTTAAATATTTGCTTAGTTCCTATAATTTCATAATTTTTATTCATTTGTTTGAAACTGATACGTTCAAATTATTCATCGTTGCCACGCTTACAAAAACATTCTCATCGTACATAATCCAAAGAAGGAAGAATGAAGTATGTGATTTGAACAATGAAAGGCTTACGAAGGAAAAAACAGGGAGGGGGTATTACTATTAGTGATAAGGAAATTAATTTGTACAAATAAAAAATCATTTCAGTGTTAAGAGTTTCAATTTTTTACATCCTCTAAACTCTAGTGTGGAGTAAAACAAAAGAATGTCATGATACAAACAAAGCAACATGCCTTATTGCTCCATTATCCGTGTGATTACAAAATACAAACCAAAATTAATAATAAAAAAAATTATAACAATCGCTCTCTCTCGTCGATCTAAAGAATTGAAAAAATTGAAAAAAATCAAATATAAACAATCACTCTTTTTTTTTTCTTCCCCCTTTCAATAACACGTTTACTTTCTACTCCCAGTTCTACGTTTGACGTCAACTGGAGCTGGATGCCTTCCTGTTCGATGTGGGACACCATTTGATTGTTTGAATGAAGGTGAAGGACCTAGAGGAGAAGAATGAACACCATTCTTGCTGCAAAATTGCAAAAGAATTATTAACATCCAATAGATAGTAGATAAAAAAAAAAAGTGCAATATACTTTACAATATAAAGAAACATTTTACTATAGAATACCGTTTTTGCATTACCTAAACTCTGGGCTTTTTGCTGTTTTTGAGATAGATCTCATAGTCTTTGGTCCAATGCTGCTAAGTTTGGAATGATTAAATTGCCAAAGTAAGTCAGGTTCGGAGGAATCACTGGTTGCAGCATCAAGGTCATCCGTGTCATCTGAACCAGCAATGTTAAAGTGGTTGCCTCCGATGAACATGTTATAGGATTGTTCTGAGTGCATTTTGGGGTATTTCTGATAAAAAGCCTCAGATAAGTTCCCATTGCTTGCTTGCCAACACTCCAAGAGGTTCTCAGTTTTGTTTACCATGACCTTATCAACCCATTCTCCAGAACCAGTTTCTTTGTCATCCTCCGCATAGTTTTGTCCAAGGCTATTATTATTATTCACTGGGGGCCATGGTGGTGAATTTGCTGATATCTCATCAAAATCAAAGCTCTGAGTTTTCTTCCTCACTGTCGTGTTACTCTCAAGCTGCACGATGAACCGTTCAAATTCCTTCTCAGTTCAACATGGAATTAATAATAACCAAACTAATTTGCATGTTATAATTCTCTCATTGAATTATGATATTAGTAACCATGTGTTTTTTCCAAAATCATATCAATTTTTTTTAAAATGAATTCTCTATACTAAATATTAAGGGATTTCTTTTTTCCTAGGTGCATCAGATCATTTTACACAATTGAGAAATTATAATGCTTTATCAACGCTAGTTGGTTCAGCCGTATCTTACACCGGATTTTTTTTTTAATGTGTTTTATTAACAATAATTTATTATTAAATATATTTTTGTTATTTAGTTTAAAAAATGATACAATATTTATTTCATTAATATCAAAATATGTTCATATAAATGTAAGTAAATTTCTAAATTTTTTAAAAAAGTTTTTAATTTTAATTTTAATTTTATTAATGTATTTTTTTTAATATTACATCAATTTTTAATAATTAATTTTTATGTGAATTTTATAATAACTTTTACTTTAAAGCTATAATAATTTAAAATTAATATAATTAAAATTTTTGTTGTCGTTACTGTTTCTTAAGTTACTGTTATTATATCATATAATTAATATAATTTTAATTTTAATTTATAAAATTTGTATATAACAATTTATTAGAGGAATTTTTTAGAGAAAAAATTATTGAAGAAGTTGTTTTCTATATATAATCATACAAAATCATAATTATTAAAATACTCATGTATATATAAATTAATCTAAGAGGGACAACTCGTGCACACTAACATATACTCCACACACAAAAGATAATTTTATCCAAAAATATTTTTGAAATATTTCCTATACCATAATTTTTTTTAATGTAAATGTAAGTAAATTTCTAAAAAAAAGTTTTGAAAAGCTTTTAATTGTAAGTAAAAGTTTTTAGAAATTTTGTAAATTTTCTAATTTTTTATTTTGATTTATTTGTTTTGATATAATATATAAATAGTATATAATATCTATTTTCTTTCTTTTATTTTGATATATTAATAAAAATATAATACAATATTTTTTATATAATATAATATTTTTTATATGGTTTTGTTGGGAAGAAAATTGCTACAGGATTTCTTCTCTTTGTATTATTAATTATTAATAGATAAGAAAACCACGAGGAAAAGAAAGAAGTATACATACCTCAATGTTGCCAACCTCAACCATTGGTCGTCGGTATCCAAGCTGATTCCCACTGTCAGGATAAGGTGATAGTTCACTGGCCTTTGTCCTGTATTTCTCAGAGCTGCTGGATAAAGAATAATCTGATTCTCCTTCCTTTCTTGCCAATGCTGCTTTGAGGCTGGCAATCTGAAACACAATTCAATAGTTAGACTTGATCGGAGTGGAAAAATGAAATTACTAGTTATTATAAAGAGATCTAGAAAATTTAGATTTGACCATCAACCTGATCTTTGAGCTCTTTAACATCTGCACTATCTTTGTTTACTCGAGCAGCACCAAGTTCAACTGTGGCAACTCTTTCAGCAAATTTTAAGGTACTAATTGTTTCTCCAATAGCATCACTCTCTGGACTTACGTGAACAAACATTAGTGTCTTAGCCTGTCCTCCTGAAACAAATCCAACCAACACTATTAGATTCAAAGAGATTGTGCAACTCAAGAACAGAAAAGAATATAGCTGGCAAACCAACTTCTTAAAGCATACCAAGTGAATCTTGGAGTAATTGTGTGAGTTTACTATTTCTGTAAGGAACGTGTGAGTTTTTCTGAGCAAGGGAAGCAATGACATCTCCCAAAGCTGAAAGAGATTTGTTAATATGCTGTGCCTCTTTTAGTCTATCTCCTGTGGCCTCAGATTTATCTACCCTCTCACTTCCTGCCAAGTCAACCAAATGCATGCATCCACGAAGCGTAGCTCCAGATGTCAAATCTCTTCCTTGAACATGAACAGTCAAGCAACTGCCAAATTGATATTTGGAAGAAGAGAATGATTAATTGTGTCCAACAAACACCATCACAAAAGGTGAATAGGATATATCATACCTATGAGATCGACTACTGCGGTCATTAAGGGCTGTTGCACCAACTGCACGGTTCCTTTGCCCCAGGTTCATTAGTTCAATAACATCAATAGTTGATGATACAGGGACAAGGCTTGCATCTGGCACACTGAGCCCTTTTTGAGAACTACTGCGAATTTCTAATGTGTTAATGGTTAAGGGAAAGCATCATGATTAAAGCTTGTTTTCATTTATTAAGGTCAGGAATCAATGCTATGCATGTTCTATAATTTTTGAGGTTATACAAAACCAAAAGAGAATCAAATAACTGGTAAAAGGATATCTTTTGTTTGTTCCATCAGTGACCAGAAGATCCCTGACTTGCTCATTGTAAATCTCAATCATTTGAACAGAAACGTCATAGTGGAAAGTGTCTTTTCTTTGATCTGCTATATGAAACAAATCGCCTAGAGCCCTGTAATTTACACCTTGGCTTTTCTCTGTGATCTCTTTTGGTCCAGTCTACATATTGAAAACATAAATCAGCAAAAGATCATTATAGTTTTCATTCTTTTTTTGTTTGCAGAGAAAGTTTCAAGTGGATATGGATCCTACCATAGTGTGAGTTTTTCCTGATCCTGTTTGGCCATAAGCAAATATGCAAACATTATAACCATCAAGAACAGATCTAATGAGTGGCTGCATATCTAGGAAAACCTCGGCTGCAACACAAGAGAGAATTTTCAATTACACTAAAAATATTGTTGAAATATTCATTGAAATGTTGTCATGGAATTGAAAATTTGAATTATTATCCCAACAAAAATATAAATCCTTTGGAGACTATTGAAACCAAAAAGCAAACCAACCTTGAGTCGCAGATGGTCCAAAGACTTTGTTAAAATTGAAGGACCTGCGTCCCTTCCCATTCTTTGAAGGAACATTAACGGTGATAACTCCATCGTCTATACTTTCCACTGCGCTTAAATGGTTTGATTGTCCAGGAAAGAAGGGTCTTACTCGACAGTACACCCTAATACTTCCTGATGAAACAAATTTACTCGTCTTAATTCAATTTTGGGATTAAAAAAAATCACAAAGCCATAAAAGCCTGAACCAAAAGTTACAAGCCAACTAGTGATATTTATTACCCTTAAGATCCTGGACTTGATTGTATAGTTTGCGATTTTCTTCAAGAACTCTATGATATCCAGAAGCAGCATTAGCTAAGCCATGAATGTGCATGCCTGGTATTACACATATTCAAGCTTTAATTAGCTTTCTACTTCATTGATCAATCACAAGGCAATAAAGAAAGGAGGAGAACAATCGGGCGAAAAAAATATGAATTAATCACAAATCCTTACCAAGATTGGAGAACTCCTCATGAAATTTCATTTGCATGAACTGCATACCAGATTTTGTGGTGTGAAGAGTATGCCTTAGCTCCTACAATAACATAAGAACGAAAATATTTAACTAACACGGAGGAAATAACAAAGATTAAACATTGATAAATATCAACTCAGATTCTCTACTTGAATTTCTCTTTGCTGTTGGTCAAAGAGCATCTGCTGCTTCAGAAGTTGCCTTTGTGATTCCTCATCAGCAACTTGATTTTTATGAATGCGATCCTCATTTTGTGTTACCATTGAAGAAACTTGATTTTTATGAATGCAATCTTCCTTTTTTGCTACAACGTGAATATTCTTCTCACCCTGATCACAAAATAGATGATTATAAGAATTAAAGCATTTTCAAGTTACATCAATGTTCTAGAATATGTTAAACACAAGCATGTTACCTTTGCATCTGCAATAACAGACCCGTTGCTTTGAGAAACAGGATCTCTTGGAGTTATTTTTGTCTGGGAAGTTACATGATGAATGAAATCAAGAACAGATTGTTGCAAAATCAACTTGAGTAAGGAGAAGTATTGTCTAGTAATGCGGTAAATAGCTCATAATATGACCGCCCAATTACCTAAAAACTAATGACATCATGAGAAGGTGAATATTATCATACCTGTTCATCCTGGCTTGCAATTCGTTGCTCAAACTCCTCTACAACCTTGTTCAAAACAGATTCAACCAACTGTCCCATACAAAAGAAGAAAAATATTACTTATAAACGACTAGTTTCAAAGGCACTCTTGCTCTTAGTATTAAAAGAAACTGAACTGAAGCAGCAGGAGTCTAGTGATGGGACTGTGAATGTGATATTGTTTAAAGTAACATAAATGGCATGACAAACCAAGAGTAGTCTTACATGATAATGCTATAATTTTCAAAAACTTTTTATCTTAATAGAGTCTCAAGTAACGTAACAGGATTATAATTAATGAGATATAACTTAAGTAGTAAAGTTGTGATGAAATTATTCGAATACCGTTGGAACTTCTTCTGGCTTCTTATCTGATAGAATTGCACGAACAAGCGTACTCAAAGAATGGGAACCAGACTGCAACTATAGAAATATAAATAAAAAAATTATTTAGTTATTCTTTCTGTTCAACTAGACAAATCCAGAGCAGGTATAAATGTCAAAAATCAAGCTTACCTACCATTTTATTAGACTCAATGTCAGAATTAAGAGCGTTGAGAGATTTATCATTCAATGATGAAGTCCTTGACAAGGAATTAGTAAATGGCTCCGAGTTTTTTCTCACAAAAGATTTTGCAGATACAGTAGGTTTGAGATTTCCGCCAAATTTCCACACACCATTTGACCCGCTCATTTTCCATTCACTATAGGATTTCAGGGCCAACACGCAATTGACAATCCTAGACGATTTTCCTCCCTAAAAGATTACCAGTTATTCAGTAGAAAACCAAAACAATACATCATTAAACTTTCAAGAATTTGCAATTTTTAAGTGCTAAATGATCACCAGGTGCTATTAACAATTGAATTCAACATGATACAAATTGGTTACTTAAATAAAAATTAGTAACAAACTAACAATTATATAATGATTTGTTTACATACTTGTTCCAGATCAGATGCCTCAAAGGTAGGAATTCCAATTTCTTGGACAGCAACCAAGAAATTCCTCACGTTTTCAAAATACTGATATGCTGTTAAGGGTGCCCCATCAGGGATCAATGCAGAATCAACAGGGCTCTCCACAACCTTAAAAGAAGAATACATTGTAAACAAAGAATAACCAAAACCTGAGCCTGCAAATTAAACTAAACTATGATCTAGCTCACCTTAGGCACAGCCCCGGATTGAACTTTATTAATAACATTACATAGAATAATTCCACTTCTCAAACCAAGCCTAAACTCCTCCTCAGATGGCTCTGCTGGCAAATCTTTAGCTGCAACAACTCCAACCATTTTTCTCAACCACCCTGCTGCTTCATACCTTCTTGATGCTGCATAGTGCATAGTAAACAAATTTCCATCAAAATCCAAATATCTTTTCTTAGAGAACAAATTGAAACTCATCAAAAGAAAATGATAAACAAACACTTTCATTTCAAAAGATGATTTTTTTAGCACATTATTGTCATTAGCATTATCATCAGCAATTCAAAAACTGAATTTTGTTGGAACCCAAGAAAAAAAAGGGTGAGTACCAGCTTCTTCTGCCTTCCTAGATTCCAAATCAAGATCTTTGAGACGAGGACCGTGCTGTTGGAGCACGTCCTCCACCACTGATGCCACAGAAAAGAAGAAAGCCGCATCTGCCGCCATAAGATGAAGACCAGAAAGTGACAAATCCAATAATAATATGAGTCAGCAGAGACATTGCACAATCTGATCCATGAGGAGGAGGAGGGCGAGAAAGCTGGATTGGATTAAAGAAAAGAAAAGAATCTAATTAATGAGAGGAAGAAAGAAGAAAGAAAAGAACAAGTGTGAGATATGATGGTATTGTGTGTTGTTGAGATTTATTTGCATTGCATTACCTTTAGTTAGCTTTTCTCTTTTCTTCTTTCTTTCTTTCTTTCTCTGCCTGCAATTACAAAGTAATAGTCGTACAACACAACAGGTAGTAGTTACTTCGCTTTCTGTATCCAAATCCGCTTTATACTCCTCTCAGCTCCGAACCTACTCCCATACCAAGCTCTTTCAAACCTTCATTCACTAAAATTAAGATTTTTGCTTTACCAAGCCCCACTTCGTCTCAACACGCGTGCATTTCACATTTTTTCTCTTCATTAAACTACTCTTTCTATCTCTTTCTTTTTCTTTAAATACGTTTTTCTCTTCCTTAAACTACTCTTTTTATCTCTTAAATTTAAAATTAACTTTTTAATTTTATAATTTTTAAAAACAATTCTATTTTTATTTTTTTTCAGATGTTGTGAATAATTTTTTTAAATAAAAAGTACTTATTATTATATTTGTAGTACAAATTATCATTGTGACTTTTTATTATTAACTATTAAATCAATATTTTTCTTTCAAATTTTTGGTAATCGTTCTAAAATGTTACAAAATAATTAAAAACATCTCTAGCAAAATATAACATATACAACTAAAAATAATTTTATTTTTCAGGCTTAATTTTTTTCTTTTTGTAATATACCCCTTTTTCATTTTTTATTCCTATAAATTTTTCCTGTAATTTCATTTTTTTGTTGTTGTTATTGAATCTGTTCTCACAAATTTCACTTGTCAGTGAAAATATCGCATTTATTTAATTTGTATGATATCATATAATTATTTTAATTTGTTATTATCAGACTATCAATAATTTGAATGATTAAAATAATATATTTATGAAATTATAATATTAAAATATATCAATTTTAAATTTTAAAAAATATATCTTAAATTTAAATTTATCACAATATATAAAACTTTTAAATTATTATTCAATTTGTGATTCAATAACAATGTAAAAAGTTTATATATCGTAGATGCATATATTATATTTTTTCTTTTTAATTTGTTTTTGTTTTATAAATTAAGAAAAAATATATTTAAATTTATTAAAGCGACTCTTAGATTAAACTAGTTATTTGGCTACTTTATCATACTATGAAAAAACTCATCTAATACGTTAATTAGTATAATGAATCAATAAAACTAACTAATTTAATTTAACGGAGATACTTTAAACTGTTAAAATAAAACTTTTTTAATATTTAAAACAGAAAATCTGAAACTAGAAAAGGGAAGAAATTTTTTTTAAAAATGAAAATAGAATTATGTGGAATGTTGATTGGTGGAGATTTTTGTTGGATACTAATTGCCTAAAAGTGATACTGTGGTTGGATTTTAGGATCCTACGGAGAATTGATTAACGTGCTAGATCTTCTCAATTCAGGCTTGCTTCAATTTGCAAATAAATCACTGCCACCTTTATTTCCAGATTCGTTTGTCAAAACTCAACTATTTGTTTGTACAGCAGCTGTGAAGCAACAAATTAATACGAAGAGAAAGAGACCATCAATAATAACAATACTCAAAAGGAAACACAATGATTTATTTTTTTCGGTAACAAACGCATGCAATGATTTGTTTAAAATAATCTTCATGATGTTGTTTAACCAATTAAAGGAATGATCAATTTTGGTTACATGAAAATATTAATATTTATATGATGCTTTAGTTTTGGTAATATTATCAAGTGGACAGACCAACCATTAGCTGTTAATGATCTTTCTTTTGATTTTGTTAGGGTCATTATTATTAATTATAAGCCTCATTTTTACTGTTCCATTGAGGCTAATGAAGTTGTCCTCATTCCCCCCACCAACTTAATCAAAACCTACATGGTCACATGAATACTTGCCATCGATAGTTCCCTCCCTAATTATTTTCTTCTCTTTGATTTAAAGTTTCCAGCTTGAGATTTTCATACAAAAGGAAAGAAATGAATGTTGCATGTATAAACAATGCGTTTCGGACATGACCCATTGTTGTTGTATTGGTTGTCCACGTAACCTTTTATTCTTAAACAATGTTGGAGTGTATAATTTAAGAGTTGTGACATTATGACAGTCACTTAGCATCGAAAACGCTTGAATGATCCTTTCCTTATTCTATGTTTCTATATAATGTGCTACCGTGTGAGAAATAAAGTAAAGTGAAAATAGAATAATCAAGGAAAGAAAAGTGAAATGCCATCTCTTGCCTAACTTAACGGATTAAAAACCCTCCTTTTGGGTTCAAAAATAAAATAAAATCGTAGCACCTAAAAAATTCTGCGAGAGGATGGTGGTGGTTGGCTTTGTTTGCTTCGGCAATGCTTAGTCAAGGATGTATTTACTAAAACTTAAACAATGAAAAAGTTTATTTAGTTAACTATATTAGCCGAAAGGTGTCCGTGTTTTGAATTAAAAATATTTAGTAATTATTGAACTCACCAATAAATGTGAATGATGTAAAAGGATTGTTTTTCAGATAAAATATTTCAAGTTTAATTTTTTGTTAGTTGATTTTCAAATTTTATCATCTTTTAAAGATTGAATAAACATTTATAAATCTTATTAAATAATTTGAGATGAAGGCACCAACCGCTGGAATATAAAATTATAAACATGGTTTTTCTAATGCTAAGACTAGGATGATGATTTTGTTAGGCTAAGTAACATGCTTGTATGTAGTTTTATCGTTGAGACTCAGATAACATGTTTGGATGGTTTTTGCTAATTAATCAAAGAACTTATTATACCCTCCCAATGTTAACTGAATTCGTATGCCACAATCACAATGTGTTGAATGCAGTCAAGTTTCCAAGTGACGAAGAATTCGGCACGTAGAACCAACCTGGCTTGAGAAAGTTAAAAAGGTTGTAAGCAAACATCCATAATGTTCACATCGTATGTTACATATTATAATCCATCTGGTAGTAACTTGAAATGAACAGTCATGCAACCATAGAATGAATTTGGTAGACGTTCTCTTTCGGTTAGTGCTATGGTTGTTGGGAAACAGTTATCTCCCATGCCTTCAAATTAAAATCATGAAATTAAAACATAGACAGCGAACGAAACTAAACACAATGCAACAACTGCGCATCTACTGTTTGTGGCCTTCTCAGCCAAGTAAATTTGGCGATCCGGTTGATAAAAGCATAAGATACAGTAACATGAAAAATATTACTAAAAACTTCAAGCTACTAAAAGCATAAGACATAGTATGTATGAGTTTGGATTATAGTTGACAAAACTAAGTTTAGTCGAATTTGATTTTGTAAACTTAAATATAGTTAAAACTAAATTTAGTATAGTTTGGATGTTTTTATTTTAAAAAAACTTTTATCAAAATGAATGTTGTTTGAAAAATATTAATAAAAAGTACTTTCATATCAATAATTACTAAAATGGGTATGAATTTATATTGTGATATAAATATTAATATTGCTTATTTTGTTATTTTTTAGTATATTTGAATTGAGAAAAAAAAGGTTTGTTGTTATTATTTTACATTTTGATATTAATATTATCACTCAAACTTATTTTAAACAATTTTTTTATTATGAGAAAAAGAAATGCTTGTAAAATCAAATGTTGCAAATGAAATGAGAATAGATTAATGAGGTAACTTACTATCATCAGTCATTTGACATTCAACGAAAAAAAATCACAAGTATTTGATTTTAAACCCTAAAGCAAAGCACATTTTAAAAAATTAAGGTTCAACTCAATGTGAAAGAGAATTCTCAAACAACCTCGTGCAGTGTTTCACAAAGACTGAACGTCCGTTTGGATGTGTAAATCAAATCAGAACTCTATAATGTTACATGTTTTTGTTTTATTATTATGTTTGTTACATGCTTTAGAATGTGGAATGTGTAGATGAACTAGTATATATGAAATTGTTTTAAACATGAATCTAAGTTTGAGTGTTGAGTATGTAACTGTGTTAAATATTTAAGTATAAAATTTTGTTGTTGTCTCTAATAAAAAATACATGTAATCTTTAAAAGAAAAATTATATTACATTAAAGCACTAGGTCATCTTAATAGAGGAAGAGGTAGTATTAGTTACATGAAAATTCAAAAGATATTATTATTTGAAGTTAAAATCAACTTTTATAGGTTAAACACAAATTTTTATTATGTTTGAGAATGTTTTTAGGGATTTTTCTTTAATAAAAAGATATTTAAAAAAATAAAATTTAACTTCTTATTTAATTTAATTATTATTTATCATAATTATTTTTGAATAAAATATTAATATTTTAAATAAATTTTCAATAAATAAAATAATTTTATGTTACAATATAAATTTTTTATCATAAATAAAAAATATTATTTATATTTAAAATATCTATTAAATATTTATATAAATTTTATATATAATTTATATATTCAAACATAATACTTATTTATATTTAACTTATTATAAATTTAAATCATATATGATAAACATGATTGTACATTGTACAAGTAAATATTAGTATATTATAAATATAATTATATTTTTATGCACTACGTCATGTGGCGATAAATTAAATTGTTATTAAATGTTTATATAAAAACTTTTTACATTGATTACATTCTTATAAATTTTAATAGATTTATAACAATTTTTTCATGTAAAACATTAATAAAAAGGTCCCTTTATAGAAGCGATATGGCAAAGAGACATACACTCTTACAAGCAATCGGATTTTATCTGAAGAAAAATGTCATCCTTCTCCCAACCTCCTCTCAGAAAAAGAAAAAGAAAACTAATAAATGACCTTTAATATAAAACAATTTATTGATTATATTTAATTTTATGAATAAAGGCAATTTTTATGACAAATTAAGTATATAAATAATTAAGAAAGTAGAAACAGTTGACCATGCTCTCAATCTGCACAAACAAATCTATCTTTCGTGAATTGAACCTTATTCCAGCTAATTAATTGCTCGTAAAATCGATAATGATTCATGAAGATTTAATGAGAAATATTTAAAGTGAATAAAAAGAAAATTTAAAATTTGAATGAAATAAAAATATTATCAGTTTGGGGCAAAACATTTTTGGGAGGGTGGAGAATGGGATGAAGTAGGACCCAAGGAAGAAGACAAAAACGAGGGCATAGTTGTGAATTGGACAAAGAAAGAGTCAAGAAGAGCATCCCCGTAACGTTCGAAAAATTCAAATTCGCCGTTCGGAACCAAAGCCATTAGGTTCGGGAAGGCCCACCAGAGCGTGTTCCAAGGGACCCACTTTACCGACAATCATAGGTACTCAAGCGATCGGACGGCAAATCTAACTGAAGCAAGCCATAGTATTTGTCCACGTGGCATACTTCAACCGGCATCGTACTGTGTAGCGGGTGACCCGCTCAATCCCATCCTTTGTAAAACTACTTTTCATTGACACCGAAGCGCGTGGATATCCATTAGCTATGGAATAATTAGTAATAAATCACTTTTCATTAAATTACAAATTTATCACCCTAGAAAAGTACACAATTATCTTTATTTTTAATGTTATTTATTATAAAAAAGTATTATCTTGACGAACAATTTAATTTTTACAATATTTTTATATTAGTCTTCTTATTTATCAATTAAATTATTAAATTGTTTTATATTTTCAAGATAACAAATATATTTACTTTTATTCAACATTTTTTTAATGAAATATATATACTATTAACAAAAGAATATTGTAAAACGTATAATTAAGGCAATTTTCTCTTAAACACCTATATCGCAAAATTCTCCTTAAATGTAATTTTAAAAACTCTAACTGAGAATAATTAAAAAAAAACTAATTTATTAATTTTCTTTTTTTTTTTAACTATAGCACTAATATAAAATATCTATAGTTAACAATAAAGACTAACTTTCATTAAAAGTTATAAACATACACAAAATAAATATTTTTTTCTCAACATAATATAATTCATACTTAAAGTCACAATTGAATATTATTATCATATATTTTTAATGTAATATGTGACTATACATTTTAATTTTTAATTTGTAATATTTCTAATGTAATAAGTTTATAATTATTAAGTTACATGTTATTGATTTTTTTTTTGTTTATGACTTTCACATGTTAAGTGAGCCCACAATATTCTATGCGTAAATTGTGTTTGTGAGGTTTACATTAATGTTGTAAACTCTAAAGATTGATGGAGGCACATGCAAAGCAAAGCAATATACACAATTTACGGACTAGTCCTTTTTAGTCTTTCTCCCCAAACACTATTCTTTTCTTTTTTATATATTAATGTATACATACCTCAATTATTATTATTTTTTCCTTCGAGAAATCAGCACATATTCAAATAAGTTTACCTAAAACAAAACAAAAATGAGATTTGGAAATATTCATGTATTCTTCTGTCAAAAATAATTGCTAATTGATGATGATCACTATGATGGTAGTTTAAAATTTAAAATGGTTGAAAGAGGACAAAAGTGTCAACATCATTATAATCCGGTTAGCAGTTTGTATTTTCAAATATAAAAAATAAAAAAATCTCAATTTGAATGTCACGACACATTAATAATTCCAACGCTGGTTTATGATAAAATTATAATATTTCTTATTAATAAAAGTCTATAAATTCAAATTATGCTGATATTACTCGATACTTCGTGTTCTAAATTGTGCAATGCCCCTAATAAATAGTAACTTTATATAATTAAAAATTCAATAAATAGTTTCATTCAATATAAAGTTCTTAATGCATAGATCAAATCTGCAAATTTTTATAAAATTTAAAAATTATTTGATCTTCATTTCATTAATTCAAATTTACGGATAATTATAAAATCATTTTATACCTTGATTCGAATTAATGAAACGAAGTATCAAGTGATTTTCAAATTGTTTAAAAATTTGCAGATTTGATTTATGCATTAAGAACTTTAAATTGAATGGTTGAATCATTGAAATTTGATGTAGAACATGAGTTATTAAATGGAATAAGTCTAGGTAGACTTACTCCTGGAGTAAAAGGATCTCTCCTCTCGATATATATACATATACATATATATATATATATTGACTTTATTGTGTTGAATCTATTAATATTCTAATTTTTAAGATGTTTTCAAATTTGAATTGAATGTGATTTTATTGACTTTTGTAATTTCATTTGAACTTATATAAATTTAATTTTATTTAAGTTTATAATAGTTAAGTATTGTATTTTTTTATCTTTTATTTTGATTTACGTGTAATCGAAATATTTTATTTTAACAATTATTATCTGAACTTTAAACTTACTGGTATTTTAATATGTGTATTACACAAGTTAAATACTTATTATATGCAAATTTATAACGAATTATATCTAAATAAATATTTATGTTTGAATATATACATCATATTTAAAATTATATAAATAGATATTTTTTAACATATAAATTATATTTTAAATTCAGAATAAATTATTTTTTGATATAAAATAATTTTAACCTTTGATAAATTTTATAACTTTTAAAATTAATTTATAAATAAAATAAAGTAATTAAAAATGCTAAAAGGTTGAGAAATTTTTTAAAAAATATTTTGACAACTCTCTAAAACACTCTATTCAAGATATTATTTTTAATTTATATATATAGGGAGAGGATATGCATATTTCTATAACTTTTATGTAATGTAACAAGTAACACAATTTTGGTCAGAATTACATGAGGTTACAAATTTTAACTTAAACAACGCAACTATTGTAAAAATAAAGTAATAATTTTAAAAATAAAGTAATAATTTTGTTCATTATGCATGATACATTACACCAAAATATAAGAAGATTTTCACATTTTATTCATCATAGTAGTGTCTTTTGGAAAAATAATTCTGACTTTGGCAAAAAAGATTCTAGGATGTTAAAGGCCTTATTATTCCCAAGAGAGGTCATTTTCCATGTCCAAGTTAATGACATTCATGAAATCAAAGAGATCATAATTGCAAACTATATAACAAAAAAAAAAGTAAGATAAATCAGCACATAATAATATTTTATAAAGAAAAGGTAAGCTTATGCTTAACCATTACTTTCTATTTTGCTTTGGCGGTGAAAGGTGTTGTTGATGTGTTACCAAAATGTGGCAGTAGAGTAGGTGAGTTTAAACTCTATGAAGGGAAGGAAAAGGGTTCACTGTTCAATTAATTAAGGGTCAAAATTCAAATAAAAAAGGTTTAATAAAGAAACTTGCACCAACATTCCAAAAAGAATCATGGAAGTATACCACTTTCACTCTCAGTTCCCTTGTTTGCCTTAGTTATCATGGTTGGAAAACTTTTGGTTAAATGTATTTTTAGGCGACGTAAATATATTTATTTTAATTTTAAAAATTAGTTATTTATTTTTATACTGCATTTGGTATAAAGAAAATAAATGAGAAAAAAAAAAGTGTGAAGAATGTAAGGAAATAAAATAAAAATAAAAGTTATTTGATAAGAGAGAAATAGAAAAGAAATAAAGTAAAAATTATTTTTTTTTATAAATAACTTTAAACATAATAAATGTTTTTTATTATATTTATTTATTATAGTAACATTATTTTTTAAATAAATAAATATAAATATACCAATTTTCATTTTCAAATTTCAAGCCATATCATATCATTATACAGCTCCAAAAGAAAGTATTTTCTGTTTTTAATCTTTATCGACACAATAACAACTAAAATAAGTGACGACAAAAATTATGATAATAATAAGTTACAATTTTTTTTACAAGAATTAGAAATAAAAATCACTATTTACATAAATATAAAACTAACTTGAGACCTTTTTAAATACTGCCTCATATAAAGTTTGAAATTATAAACTCTGTAAGTTTTTTTCCCCCTTTTTTAATCCTTACGAGCCTAAGTTTTTTTTTTTTTTTTTTTAATGAAATATAAACCTGTCTCACCGAATTGATCCTATATAGGTATTTAATCACAATTTCATACTTAACTTAAAGAATGAAATTACAATCATTAATTATGTTTAAATATCTATTTAAAATTACGTTGAACAGAAAAATACACATTTTAATAAAAAAAAAAGTAAAAACTTGTTAATAAACCTTTTTTTTTCAACTCCAATTGAGTTCTCCATTTGAATAATTGAATTCAACACTGATTTCCAATTACATTTTAAGTTGCACGACTTTAACTACTGACTTTTAGTTGGCATAAGTTACTTTAATAATATGTTTTACCAAACATTTATTTTAGTGGTACAGCTTGTTTAAAAGATATATTTAAAAAACTTATTCTAAAATAAGTGATGCTTTTAAAAAATAAAAGGAAAAGATAAAAGTTACTTCTTAATAAAAATAAAAGATTACTTTATTTTCTTAAAAAATAATTTAGACAAACTTATAAATCTCCTATTTTCAACTAATTTTTGAAATTTTAATAAACATGTCCATTAATTTTGTTAAACAGTTTCATATGGTACTTTTATTTTGATGTTGCGTTCAACTCAAATTCATAACCTCCTGGCCATCAAAGTATCATGATTCCCCCTTTCCAGTAATCTCTTTCTAGGGCATTATAACAATGGGACTCATCCAGCAAAAATGATTATAAGAGCCTCTGTCTTGGTTCAGATTTGAAGGATTATTTAGAAACTACTATCGGTCTAAAAAATATATTTTATCTTTAAATTAAGAAACATTAAGATGATTTCATCTCTAAACATTTTGATGTGGTAAGTACTTGACCTGCGAAACAAGATTACTGAAGCAAAAGATCGTGCTAGATATGTTCTACAAGATATGATTATTATTCCCAAGTATCCAAATGAAATAAGCAGCAGGATGACATCTACCACTTCATCTTTATCGTCGTTATCACTCAAATATATAATTATCCATGTCTCCCTATTGCAACAATGACTTTGCACAAGTTTGACGAGGGAAACCGGACTCAATTGTGGTTGAAATATGTGGGACTCTACCATACATAATCAACTAAAAATCACAAAGAATGATATATGCATCGCCAAAAGAAGGATTACTCAGCTGGACTAGCTATGTTTTGGAATCTAACTGTGCTACAGAAGATCAATCGTCACAAAATATGATTCTGTGGATCAGAAGGAAAAACTGAAACAAGAAAACGGTGTATCATTTCAAAGCTGGTAAATGTGATTACGGCAGCTGGTGTTGTCCTCAGAAGGTTGGTGGCACAACCTCGGTAAAAACCTTGTACACCTTCTTGTTGAAAAACCTTTCTAACACAGTCAATCACACCAGTGTACCGTTTCTCTGAGTGATGCCCTTGTTCTTGCAGTCTGGAACGTACAACCTGCAAACAAAATGCAAAAACATTTTTTTAACTTTCGTATGCTTGTCTGCCCAAATAACAGACATACAAAAAAATAAAATAAAAAATATATACAAATCATAAAATCTAACCCCAATTAATATGTGTATGTTAGTTCCAAGTTAGCTATGAAAGAAAAAGTGTGAAGCCCGAAAAATTCAATAAATAGCTCTTGCAAACAGAAAAAAGACCCAACTCCACAACACAGACTAGGAAACTACAGGTACGAGTACCTATGTGGACAAATATCATACCTCATGAGGATATGTCAAAGTTGATGCAAAAATTTTGGAAACTGATGAAGCAATTGCAACATCACGTGCACCAAGTTTATCCATTGTTGTGTTATCTGATACAACATAGTGAAAACACTAATTAACTGCCAAAACTTCAAACAATATACAAAGATCTAAGACAGGCATGAAATTACCTTTATTTGCCAAATAAAATTTTATTGTCTCGTATGTGGGAAATTGGATGGCAACATGACTGACACCAGCCAGAGCAGGTACAAGGCCACTGTTTATGGTTAAGAATATCTCAAATGTCATTAAATCATTGATTATAAATTTATAATGCCATATACATTGACTATTCTGCTGCATTTATGTTAAGCAACACAAACCTGTACAGCCCCCGAATGCCCTCCTCATGAGCAATTCTCCTCAATGCAGACAGTGTGCTTCTATATGGCACAACACCAGGTCTCATTCCCTGCGTCTGAATTATAAAATGCACTAAACTTATAGCTCAGGATACACAAATGCACTGATAATAATAAGATAAAAGAAGTCACGTAGTTATGTTCTCTCTATGGTTTCAACAGATAAATATGCAAGATGGAGTTCATCCATACTACAATGAGGAAGGTTTGTTATCAATGCAAATCCTTTTAACGTTCACAAACAAATGGATAGCTGAATCTTCTCACAGCAAAAACATATAAAGTAGATGTTCTATGTGTTCATTATTTTCCCAATCCATGAGACAGTTGTGTCATCTTGCATGGAGATCGTGCAGAAAGGCAACAAAGTCAAATTTATTGTGCCTTCCCTTTGTTCTCATTTAATAACCATATAATTCTAGAAGTTATGCCATGAAAAAAATGAAAAATATCAAATTGCATAATATTAACAGTTAATGAGACAATCAAATAGCACTTCACTCTCTGATGAAGTTATGATCGCATTTATGTCATGGACAACTAGCATACTCGAATAGATCGGCATAAATTTAGCCTGAACTGGAGGAACACACCTGAAGTCTAGTCTTGACAACCCAAAGGGGATTTGTAAACATGGTAGTGGCAGCTCCGGCACCAGAAGCAGCTACCATATTAGCTCCAATTGAAAGATGACGGCTTTCATCTGCATACATAACATAGCTATTATTGTTTGTACATCTACATAATGAAGGGGCAAAACAGAGCAAGTTGGCAACATAAAAATAGTCGATGAGTGGAATAATTTCATCACAAATAGAATAATGCCTCCAACAATCCCTTAATGATCAATAGAAAATAATCATTAGTGGACTAACCATCAGAAGAAAGAAGGCTCTTAAGATGCTCATATGCAGTAAAATAAACCTGCAAGTTCACAAATTGATACAATTAGAACACTATCTAACAGAGCATAACAGTTTTCTGCTATTAAAAAAAATGACATACTAAAGAAAGATTTAACTTCTTTTTCTAATTAATTTTTAAAAATTTAAATTATTTTAAATTTAAGTTGTAAAAATATTCCACAGAATATTAACATATAACCAAACACATTTTCTAAATATATCCAGAAATAACATTTCAGTCTAACTATTTTTAGGAATGAGGTTCTCAGAAATGCAATGTGATACCTTGAAACAAATACCCCTTACATTTTTATTTACATGTTAGGAGTGTGGGAAAGATATATTCCCATAGGAATATGGGAAGTCACGTCCTAACACACTTGTAACTTATTTTTCTAATTATTTTTTATTTAAATTATTTTGAATTTTAAAAATTATTCCAGGAATATTATAATATAACCAAACATGTTTACTATATATTCTTGGGAATAAGATTTCAGATAAAATATTACTAGAGATGGGATTCCAGTAATGCAATATAATACCTTTAAACAAAGGGCCAGTAAGGTAAAGTTTTAAACCATTGAAAAACTGTGCAGTATGATTACTGGCATCCATATGATGCTCTGATAATGAAGCATTCTGAGGAATTTCTTTGAAGTTTGAATGACAGTGGGTGTTCAAGTGTTTTATTATTTTAATATATCCTATTAACCTTTATTCAGTTTTTTTTTTTCTATCACAAGACATAATCAGAGTATATTTCCAGTCTTCATCATTGTACCTTCAATTCCTTCTCCAATAAAATTCTAATTTTAACACAAACATTTTGATAAGAATATTGGGTGTACCACACCACAAAAGCTAGCTGTTATAGTTGAGAGCCTAAGGCCTTAAAAAGAACTGACAATAGAATCCCATACTTCCCATGTGAGACTCAAGTCCTATACCTTGCAATTGGATCCTAACGCATTCTATTTCTCATTTTACATGGCAGAGTGCAGCCAAGTAATTCATTCTAAACCAGTCATAAAAATGGAGGTCGGTTGATATGTGATCAAGGGCACAGAGATGTTGTTCTCCAGTGTATTTCCACACAAAAAAATAGAAATCAAGCAAACCAAAATCAAATATGTGTCAACAAACCATAAAATGCTCATATTCTTAACTTAATTCACCAAGTATTAATGTTTCTCATGAATGACTTCATACCATGCATTTCAGATAACATCAACCATCCGCAGGAGCAAGGTAGGTATTAATTATTATAGATACATTTCATTCCCAAATTGACGGCTAGAATTCATAAATATAATATAAATATAAATATAGTTACAAATTTAGGACAGGAAGGTAATGAATTTGTCAAGATTCTATTACTCCATCAAGAAAACAATGGACAAAACTTAAGTTTGACCTAATGATGTGCAAAAAAATCCAAACTAATACAAAACCGATCAGATCGAGGTTATAAAATCTGATCCATTTTGAGAAGAAGAAAACAAACTGATCCACTTAACAAAAACAATTCAGTTAACCAGTCCAATTTTATAAAGTGGATTGTTTTAGTCCAGATTTTGAAAAGTGGGTAACCAAACTGCACCAAACCAATCTAATTAAAAAAAATCTGATCCAATTTTTAAAAGAACCGAGTTGATCCATTGGTTTAATTTGGTTTGAATTTTTCAAAAATTTGTTCCATGAACAATCCTAGTTTCACCTCAATAATATATGTAATAAAGGATTTCATGAAATGTAAAGGCTGATTATCATAAAATTTCACTAATAAAGTATTGTAACTAAGTTTTGTCCAAAAATAATAGATGCATACAGAGCATTGACAGGGAGCAATGACTCACCGCCCAGTTCGGAAGTAAAGCCAGCACAGTGGGCGCGAGCCCTCGGTACATGCCACGTAAGCCCTCCTTGTGAAATATTTGTTCCAAACTAGAAACTATCAGGCTGCCTGCTAGCGAAAAGACCCATAAGCTAAAATTGCAAAATTAAGTTTCAAAAGTCCTACAATAAACTTTCACAATGTTGCTTTGTCCTTCATATAACGTCTTTTTAAATGAAAGGCAAAGCATCATTGTATAGTTTCTACGCTAAAGTTGAAATAAATAGATCAAACAAATACAAGAACCTGGAGGTAGGTTAAAGTCATACCTTTAACAGTTCCATTCGCGAGCTGCGGGACACCATGAACCTGAAACCTAGTTTTGATGACATCTAAAGGACAAACGAACGTAGCAGCAATAACCCCTGCGTCAAATTAAACGTAACAGACGCATGAATCGAATCCGGCGGAAGGGAAAATTGAAAAAGAAAAAGCGATTGGAAAAAGAGAATTGATTGGTACCGGCGGAAGCACCGGCGGCGGCATTGCAGAGAAGGCCCCTGGGGTTGATATTAGGAGCGGAGTGGGTGTCGGCGGACATGGCTGAAGAAATGAAGAGAGAAAGTGGCGAAAGTGAAAAGGAAGACCTCTCTGGGGAGGGCGATGGGGCAGGAACAGGGTGGTCGCATGGCCTGAGAGAGAGACACGCAGTCTCGCTCGATCGAAACTAACCCTAATTGGGATTATTAGATTAGGGTTTGAATGAGATCCAAGAACGAGAGTCAAGAGGCCTCGTCGCTCTCTGATTCGTGTATTCCTCCTCCACCACACCGCTCCATCCTCTCTCTCTCTGTAATCAAACCGATGTTTACTATTATGCTTTTCCTTCTCAATTTCTAATCCTTAATTCCAAACTCCATTTCTTCTCTTTCCATACCGGATCTTTCGCCGAGATAATTTTTAATCACCATTTATTTATCTTTTAACCCAGTTGTTAAGATTAGTTTAACATAAATCCCATAACACTAGTGTAAAATTAAAACCTATGTGCAGCATTGGAATGAAAATTATATATACATTTTTAATAATATAAATAAATAGTAAAAAATTTTAAATTATCACACATATCTACTTCAATTAAATGTTTTACATTTTTTATTAATACGAAATAAAGAAGTCAAAAATAAAATAATTATAAATTCTGTAAATCTTTTTTATCAAGGGATAATTTTGTTATAAAATTTTATTTAAATATATCAAATTAACTACAAATTTAAAATTATAATTTTTATACGCAAGTTAAAAAAATATCATAATAATTATAAGATTTGTAAATCTATTTTACCAAAAGATAATTCTATTAAGAAAATAAAGTCACTAAAATAAACCTTAATCTAAAATCCTAGAATCCAAAAAATATAACCTTAATATAAAACCATCTTTTAAATTTAATAAATTATTTTTAAAAAAATAAGTTTAAAAAATTTAAATATTTCGGTTAAAAATATTCTTCCGAATATTTAAAACCATCTCTGTAAAAGATAATTTTGTTATGAATCTTTTTTTGAATTTATCAAATTTATCTAAAAATTTAAAGTTTTAAATATTTCAGTTACAAAAAACTTATCAAAATAATCATGAAATTTGTAAATCCTTTTTCTAATATATAATATATAATTATAGTATAAGAAATTAAAGTAACTAAACTAAACCTTAACTCATACACCTTAAACTCTAAATATTAATCTTTTTTTAATTTATCCAATTGTCTAAAAATTTAAAGTTAATTTTTTTTTCTTAGCAAGTGTTTGATATGTAAAATGTTTTTACTTTTTTGAAAATTTGAAATTGAAAATGTTAGTTTATCATGAATGGTTTATCATTTAAAAAATATTCCTTGAAAATATAGTTTTTAAAAAATATTTTTTATATATGTTTTCCACCAAGTTGTTCTCAATAAATATTTTAATATAAAAAATATTATGTTATCTTAATTTATCTTTTTAATATATACAAATCTTGAATTTATCAATAATATTTATAAAAATTCATAAAAGAATTTATGATCAATTAAATAAATTTAATTATTCCTGAAAATCGTGAGTCTTAAAATTTATGATTCCTAAAAATCAAGTCGAACATACAAAAAATTCCTTTCTACCAAATGCTTCATTAATGTCTCATCTCTTTCAATTTATTTTTTTTCTTTTTTAAATGAATTACAATATTTTATAAATTATTAATAATTAAAATAATTTTTGTATATAATATAATTTATTTATCGTAAATCTAAGATATAATTTTTATGTTTAAAGATTTTTATTATAAATTTTAGTTATAATATAATTTAAGTTTAAATATATTTTTAATTTCTTAAATTTAAGGTATTTTTATTTAATTATGTAATAGCACACTTTGCACAACACAAATAAATCACAAGTAAAGTTATAGTTTTTCTTACCCTCAAATATCATGATTCAAGATTTTGAAGAAAAGAGGAAGAAGAAGAGGCTCTACAAAATTTCCGCACCAAACACTGGAACAAATTTTCAACATTCCAAATTTCAATCTTCATTTAAGAATCTAAGAAAAAGAAAGGGTGGTTTCAAAATCCTTAAAGTTCCTCTCACTACTTTCTCTAACTCATTCGAAAAAATTAACTTATGAAACCATTTATAAAAAAAAGGTCTTAATACACCTTTCTTTTAGAGGTCCAATTTAACCCTTGCTAAAAGATACCCCTAAACATTTAAAACTCATAATTTTAGAGTTTTTCAACACTCAACACAACACATATAATAAATATAACTATCACAACACCCCATAACTTATAATATTACATATTCTTCAATTTTATTTTATCTTTATAATTAAAAAAAATATTTGTCTCTCAAATCACTAATAACATAACTAGTCATAAGATTAAGACTATTACGTAACATTAATTATATTTAATATAATATTTTTATTTACAAAGACTCTACAATTTAGTGAGCTTTGTATCATAATATTTGACGGTTTCTCTATACAAGTAACATTTGAATAAAGAATCTAAAAAAAATCACTTTTAAATTTAAGAAATTAAAAATAAATTTACTTCATATAAATAATAAAAAATATATTTAAGTTTATAAATTATATATGTTAAAAGTATTTATTTATTATAAATTTTAATTATATAAAATAATTAAGTAGTACTGACATCCTATTTCATGACATCCCTTAGAAATGTCAGTGAGTCAGGTGCGGATGATACTCTCCTACTTCTCCATTCTCCTTTTGTTAACAAATCGCAGGAAAAATATTTGTACTCATTACTACTGAAGCTACATATTTGTTTATCAAATTTTATCTGCAAAAATTTGCAAGGATTTTTTTTTCTTTCTATTTCTGAATGAAATTCATAAAACCAAAAAGGTAAAATAAAGACAACTGTATAACCCTAACTAGGTTAGGGTACAATTGTATTCCTTGGAGGAGTCAGATTCAACCTTGTCCCGGAAAACCTTATCCCCAACAAAGCAAACTTCAAACTCCCACCAAGGTGCCCCCTTTTTAATTTTTTTTTTATCACCGTTATTAATTTTTAATTTCAATAATCTTACAAATTTTGGCACTAAATGGGTTCTCGTTTTGTTGCAAGAATTGTGATAGACACTGTTCTCTCACTCTTCAAATTCAGCATTATATGTTTTTCATTTTGTTTATCAAATTAAGATGACGCTTATTCCGTTCATTGTTACTAAGATTTTCTGTTTCTGCATTTTGACACCACTATTAAATTATTATTTTGTTATCAACCACAATTAAAATTATGATGCAATAACATATTAATCAACCACTGTACAATAGCATATATCTGCACAAGATTACAATTTTACATGCCTTGGACAATGTATGTGCACTGCTTATAATTTTGTTTCAACTATTCATCAACCTTAGTAGTGAAATCCGTCATCTTGTGTTACATTGTAGATAAGCACATGGGTTTAGGGAATGGCAGTGGACGTCTCAGAACAATTTGGACACGAGATGCATCGTTATTTCGTTGATCTTATGCTATAACAGGTTGCCCATGGCCGTAAATTTGAGGATCATTTGTTTAGCAAAAGAGCCTGGAAGTATGTCTTTAAAGTTCAATGCCAAGTTCAATTTTCAGTATGAAAAAGATGTTCTCAAGAATTGACACAAAACATTGAGGAATTTATACAAGAGTATTAAGAAGCTTCTTGCCCAACCAGGGTGTAGCTGGGACGAAAAGCGAAATATGGTTGTTGCTGATAATAATGTTTGGGATGAATATCTCAAGGTATCAAAATTTGAAATTATTTTAAATCATTTCCACATCACAACTAAAGGAGTCCAATAATTTATCTTCTGCATAACAATGCAGGCAGATGCGAATGTGCGATCATGCAGGGTTAAAAGCATCCCCTGTTTCAAAGATTTGTGTACTATTTATGAACATGTGATGGAAGGAAAATGTAGGTGTTTTTGTTGAACACTAATTTGTATAGGTCATGCTTGATGCTTAGAAGTTCTAATTTACATTTCAACATCTAATGAAATATGAATTTCCTGGTAATGCTGCAGTGGAATGGTCATCTAATTCTGGCGAACATGGAGCAATCAAACCCTGTCTATCTAAGGATGTCTGTGAGGATGCTGATGAGCTTCTTTGTGATGTTGGGGCTGATGAAGACTGTGGAATCTCTAGCAATGACAGTACAACCAATGATTGTGAGCAAAGGGTGCCAAATGAAACAACATCCACTTTTGGTACACGGACCCGGACTTGTTGGCATCCACCAGTGGATCGTTACTTCATCAACTTAATGCTTGCCCATGAGCACAAAGGGAATCAATTTGAAGGGGTCTTCAGAAAACAAGCATGGATGGAGATGATTTCATCATTCAATGAAAATTTTGGTCTTGAGTATAATTCGGAGATTCTTAAGAATAGGTACAAAACTCTGAGAAGGCAATACAATTTAATTAAAAGTCTTCTTCAGTCGGATGGCTTTGCCTGGGATGAAACATGCCAGATTGTTTTGGCTGATGATTGTGTTTGGAAAGATTATCTTAAGGTGCGTATCAATATAAGAAATCTGCTGGGAAATTGAACCTCTTTGGACATCTACACTTCGAAGTATTAATTGGTTATATTACTAATGAGAGTTGGCTGTTCTCATCTGATTTCATGATGGTATATGGAGTTTGGAGTGAATGCTTCTAGAAAATTGTTTGCCGTGGACAATAGGGCTAAATTTCTCCAAAAGCACTTTTAGAAAAGAAAATCAGAATAAAAAATGAAATAAACTTTTTTATAAGCTAAAATTAGTTTATGCAGATTAGTGGAACTAACAATTCCGAGAATAGAATTAGTATTTTGTATGGAAAGGTAAACTTGTATATTAACATGTTTGGCTAGTGACTGCACAAAATGCATATATATAAACAATACTCGGGTTATGTGGACGATAAGTGTTTTAAAATTTTGCCTCCTGCAATTGATTGATAATCTAATATGAACTAGGTATTTATTGTAGTTTAATAGGATAAATTCCAATTACAAAAATGATGAACCCTCAAAACAAAGAAAGTAGGAAACAAAGGGGAAAGCACTGCAGAGCTTTGAGGGTTTGCACCTCCTTGCTCAAAGGCCCCCAAAACCCATTCAATGACTATCCCCCCTCTTCTCTACACATTTACAGTATTTACCTAGCTACACTTTATCATTCTATGTCGGACGATTTTGTTTTGCGTTACCTCCAATAAATTTCTTTACCAAAAAATAAAACATGAGTTTTATGATTCCATACAATTTTATCATCCATTTCAAAAATTTATACCAACTTTTATTCAATACTAAAAAAAAGCGGTGTGAAATTTCGAGAAATCCAAAATCTCGAACAATGCCTTGGGTGTTTGAAATATTGGAAAGAAGACTTAAAATCTAAAAAAAATTAGGATGTTTGAGGCATTCTATAACACTAAAAAAATCAAAATACTGAAAATAGCATCAAACATAATTGGAGTTAATATGATGGCCAGTTGAACACATCCACGGGTCAGAGTGCTATGCTAACAGAACACCCCATCATTATTAGCACCTTTTTCTCACATAATCTCGGCTATAGCCCATTGGCAACAGTAAAGCAGTTATGCTACTGAATCGGTTATTACGACGAGTCACAAAATCCTGAGAGAATGAGGGCGTACGCAATTATTCTTAACTAATAATAGCATTGTCTTGAATATACATTACTTTTAATTCATACATATGGATTAGTTCTCTATACTAGGTGGTGTATCCCAGTGCATACAACAGAAACACTGATCGTTTGACCAAGAATGATGTTCAAGATTGAAACTACGACTCTCCTTTTTTTACTCATTGAATTGAAACTAGCCACTGATGTCCTTGATTGTCTCAATCAGAAGTCAGGGTCAAGGATAGTAGACATCAAAAGTCCCTGAACAAATTTACTGCGCTGAGCTTTCTCTATTTGGTCTTTGTCCGATAAAGTAGGTTGAACATCTCTGCAATAATTAAAGTATTAGGTACACAATAGAAAGATAAATGTAGTCATGTCAATTAAATATCTTAATTAATACGTACAAAATGAAACAAGAACAAATCAGCAGCAAGATAATAAAGGTCATATAAAAAGCTACAAGTAACATATGTAATCATTTCCCCTAAACTTTTAAAAAAATACGAAAAAGAATAAAAAAAAAGCCCTTGGGACTTTATATGCAGCCCAGTTTTTGGCTCAAACCATCAAAATCATATATCATCACTACTGGAGAAGCCACATAGTTAATTGCATTAATCTAAAAATTACTTAAGAAAACAATCAAAACCAAATGTTTTAGAGGGGATGCTTATAATGATTTCAGGTGAAGTGCCTGTTTTGAATATTTATATGATATAGCTCCACAAACTGAATGGTGGTCTCAGAATGTCAAGTCTTTGGCACTATTGATCATCCAATAATATGATTTATTGGTCTCAATACTAAGTTTTTTTCATCCACAAACTCTACAATGATGGATCAAGCATCGGTATGAACAATAACTTAGTGATTTCTTAGTTGATATTTGTCAATGCATGAGGAATGTGATATGACACATGGTTGACCGACTGATACTTCATCATACCTTTCTAAAGCCTTATCATTCGAGTGTATTTCTTCAGTGCTTACTTCACTTGAAGAATCTGGCTGCAAATGTTCACGTTCCTCAACAGCAGATGCACCACATAAAAATGACAGCCATGGATCTCTTGCTGCCTTGGAGGTAGACATCACAGGAGATAACTCAGCAGAAAAAGATTTCCAGTGTCCATCCCGTTCACACTTTCTTGAAAAGGAAGGAGCTGGGTAGGATTCATGTTTGTAGCATTTTGATTTGAGCTGACTGTAATCTCCAGTAAAGGAAGTACATAGTTGAATGAAGGACAAAGAATAGCAACACGAAGTATAAAATGTAAAAAACTTAGGTTAAAAGGAGACAGAAGGGCAACAAGCTGATACTATTTACACAAAAACATTTCTATCAGGCATACCAGAAAGGATATCTTAAACATGTTTCCGTGTTGTGCTGCTATATGATCAACTATATTTGTCCCCACCCACATTGTACAAACGGGACAAATCTGCACGTTCAAAAAAAGATAGACATAGCTGAGTGTAATTCAACAAGCACAAGTATAGATAGTACTGCACAACATAAGTTGGTAGAGAAATACATCAATTGTATAAATAAAAACCAAAAGTATACACACGTCTGGATTTAAGGGCTGTCGCAAATAGCCAGTATCAGCTTCTAAATCCGCCAACTGAACCCTCAAGTTAGGAGAAATATTACAATATAGATCATTCTATCCCCCTTTCTAACATATTTTGTAAATTATGTGATAATCATAAAATGTCTGTCTAAAACACTTGTTACACTTCTCATAATCTACTTGAAATAAAGATTATAAAGCATGTAAACATTTGATATTTTTAAGAATGAAACATTAAAAGAAAATTCTCACGCAATGACAAGCATATTAGAGATCTCATGGTTAGCAAAAATTGATAGACAGATCTGGAATATTTCTCATAGTTTGAGGGTGGAGAGGGGGTTACTAAATTGATGGATTTAAAAGTTCATGGTGGTTTCTAGCCACCTCCCTAAAGTCCAACTGGTGTGTGTGTATGTGTATTTTTGCCTAATCAATCATATTCAGTATCAACTGACAAAAAAGTAACAACATCAACTTTAAATGGAAGCTCATTCTAAGTGTGCCAAGGATCTAAATTAGATTCATATGGAGTAACCCCTTCAGGTTCTACAAGCTAAGATCTTGTAATGAACCACATCTTTAAGGCCTTAAGGGCATTTGCATAGACGCAAGATATATAAAAGTCCAATAAGAACAGCATAACAAGGTTTCACTTTGCAAAATCACATCAGTGATCAACCCCAAGTTAAGATCAGCAAGATGTTAATCCATAAATGAAAGTAATAATGAAAATTTCAGAGGCAGTAGAATGCAGAAATGCAAAGCTCAACTTGAAAAGCTATCTCGATTTGTTAAAGGGAAATTTGATGTCTATTGTCTGCACGAATGACAAGGAAGATATTGACTCAAATTACGGGTATCATAACCATGGAAAACGATATTCAGAAGGTCTGTGTTTGTTTTAATCAAAATAGATGTCATTTGCTGGATACATTAATTTCAAATGCAATCACCAACCTGCTTCTTTCATTCTTTCTGAAATAGCTATTCAAAACATATGGTTTGTTCCTTCTAGCATTTTGTTTTAAGGGGGGACACAAAATCAACAAATCACTTAAAAAGTTAAAACTACGAAAGAACTTGCTATGCAAAGCACCAAAACCACCCAATCTCAATGAGAAAACTCCAAAATTGAAATCTTTCTCTATAAAACACCACCAACTTGGATAGATTAATTATAGCCCGGCAGCAATAAAGAAGCAACAAAAAGGTAAAGGGTACATAAAAGCTCCTATGCAAAACTAAAAAAGTAGTACGAAAGGGAAATAAATTAAGGTGAGACTTGGGAGAAAAATAAAATACCCCAGACTTGGCATCTGATGGATGGTCCAAGTCAATATGGCAACATGGTTCAAGAAGATCAAAATCCTCGGCGCAAAAAGGGCACGTGTAAGCCGTCCTCAGCTCATCATCCCCAGTGACCTCATCAAAATCGATGAAGAGTTCTGCTTCATCAAAAAGGTTAGACATTTAGCTAAAACAAGACACCCCATAAAAGAAAAACCCATCAAAACAGTTTCCACAAGAGCGGAATGAAGCAAAACGGTGTTTGGAAAGAAGGAATCACCAAAATGTGACTTGAGCCTCGACTGGTAGCCTCTGGAGGCAGTGGAGAGGCCAAAACTTAAAGTCTCGTCTTCCATTGACTTGCACAAAGTAGTGAGTACAAGCACGATGAAAAAACAAAGGCTGTCCCAGAAATTGTTGTTGTTCTTTCTTTCTTGTGGGTGTTAGCGGTGTGTACTATTTATATATAATGTTGCTGTGAAGAGAAATAGGACGAGGAAAATACGAGGGACTTTCGCTCGGTTTTGGATTGTGCGTGGTTGTTGCGTTGCAGTGCTGGGGATCCTTAGCCTACACGAATTCTAGTTATTATGCATTTACCCAAACGCCCTCCATGGTTTTAGACGACACATAACACGAGTCATGACATGGTTACATATTAATTATTTTTTTACTATTATTACGCATTGGACCACTCATAGTTGACCGAATGAGACCATGCAATAATTCTTTTGTATGACAGCACAGTAATTTGCAACAGTGAGAAGCGGTGAAATTGAAAGAGTCTGGAACACACTTTCTTCTGGAGTAAGGCATGGAAGGGATTAATTTACAAATATGGCCCTCGCATGATTCCCTAACCCAAAAGTCTTGTACGGACGCGTTCTTCTCTGTTCCGAGTTCCAATCGCTTGTGCAATGGCGACGAGAAACCGAACTTTGGAGTTCAGGAAGCACAGAGACGCCGTGAAGAGCGTGCGCGCTCCTCTCTCCTCCTCAGCGTCTGCTTCCGCCGGTCCCGTCATCGAAATGGTTACAACTTCGCTTCTTCCTTCCAATCATCGTTCCTCCTATGCTCCTCTTAGCACCCACGATCCTGGCCCAGCCACATCTAGGTTTTCCTTTTCGCCTTATCAATTCACAATTCATATTCGTTTCTGCGCTTTAATTTCATTTATATGCATAATATTAGAGTATTTGCTAAGTGTTTCACCATTGATTTGTCTGGTTGTCTGGAGAAAAAATAGAAAGAAAAAAATGATAGGAGAAAAAATAGAAAATAAAAATGAAATAAGTTTCTCATCTAAAATTAAATTGTGTATTTGTCAAAAAGAAGATTTGGAAGAAGTAGCAACAGAGTTTCTACAATTTAGCTTTTCGAGTATTTCTGGATAAGCTTATTTCATTTTTTCTTCTAAAATTACTTCTAGAAAAATTTATCGAAAACTCGGTTCAATCATCGAATGTTGTGTGTTAGGGATGCATTTACTGTGGGGTTGCCGCCATCTTGGGTGGATGATTCTGAAGAAATAGCTACTAATATACAACGTGCTCGTGTTAAAATTTCTGAGTTAACCAAAGCTCATGCAAAGGCTTTGATGCCCTCCTTTGGGGATGACAAAGAGGATCAGCGTCATATTGAGACTCTCACCCTGGAAATTACGTCCCTCCTCAGAAAGTCTGAAGTGAGGCTTAAAAGACTTTCTGCTGCTGCTGGATCTTCTGAGGATTCTAATGTCAGAAAAAATGTACAGGTAATTTTGTTATAAAAATATTGTGACATCATATGTTTAGACTTTATTTTTTTCTTCGGTTGAGGTTGACTGTTATTGACTTGTTCTTAACGTTGATATAGAGGCTCATGAACTATATTTTATTTTGGGTGCAAGATAGAAAGTTACAGGTAGGCTAGTGGATTATATATGTTCTGCTTACTCTTAGCTGGTGATTGTCCCAAAGATATATAAGCTCTTGCATGAAGTTTATCTTCAATTCAACTATTATCATCAGGTCTTATTGTTGAATCGTAGCTTTAGCCTCCTCCATCCCTTTAAAGCCCACAATCGCCTTTTTTTCTTGTTTCTCCTTGTTTTTCATGTATTACTGTACGTGAATTTATATGGTTAGGGGTGTGTTTGTCAGTTAAAAGGGAAACAAAAGGAAGGGAAAATGTAGGGTAAAGCCTTACTCTTCTTGGGATGTTTAACCAATTCACAATGAGAAGGAAATAGAGGGATAGTTAAATAATGGTGAATTCAAGTGTCCCCAACACACATACACATACAGGGAAACCCATAAAAGTGAGGGTTTATGAAATTTTCTTCCCCTCCTCTTAGAATATTTCCAAGTTCCAAACAAGAGAATGGTCAACCATAAGCCTTTCCGTTTCCTCTCTCCTCTTATAATCCATCATCCAAATATACCATTAGTTTCACTACACTTATTTTACATCACTTCTATTGAAAATAGTTCTTGGGTGAAAGCTGGATTGTAAATAGACAAGATTTTACTTCTATCTCCGTTACTTGCTTCAAATTTTAGCCATTTTATGACATGCCACTTTTTCCTTATATTTTGAGATTGGTATAACTGGATTTTTTGTATCTATTTTTGACAGCGTTCCCTTGCTACAGACCTTCAGAACCTATCAATGGATCTCCGACGAAAGCAGTCAGCATATTTGAAACGCTTGCAGCAGCAAAAGGAGGTTGCATTGCAACTTTTACTGTGTAGCTAATTTTTCCACATGCCACCATTTTGTTGGACCTGATTCTTTGTTTGTGAACTCATCAATCAATTTTTCTAGACTCGTCACTTCTTGACTTCTTTCTTTTTAATTTTAATTCTCTTGGTATTCAAATGTTTGAACTTATGGTCATATTATCCAAATGCCCAACCCACAAGTCTGTTGTGCCATCAACAGTGGAACCAGTGTAATTTTTGTGTTATTATTTATGTTGCTTCAGTAATGTCTATATTTGGATGTAATCATGCAGGGTTATGACGGGGTTGACTTGGAGATGAACTTTAATGGAAGTAAATTTGAATCACACAATGATGAATTCGGTGATATGGTATGTTTTTTCATTTTGGCAACTTATTTACCTGGCGGGGCCATATTATTTTAAGAAATTTTATGCTGTGTTGAAATTATTCGGATGTAGGTATTGAGGGTAGGATAAAGAGGGAATAAAACTATTTGCTGTGTAATGTTTATGTTACAAAAGACAGAACACTTATGCTATGTCTGGTTTAGGAAAGAAAGAGGGAAGAAAAAGGAGTGAAAAATGAGATGATTTTTTTAAGGTTTTTTTTTTTTTTGTGAAAATGATTTTTAAGTTGTTTGATAGGGAAGAAAATGACAGGAAAAAAAACAAAATTTTTCATTGGAAAGAAAACTATATTTGTAAAATGACATAATTATCTTGAATAAAAAAAATGAAATATGATAATAAATAAGGTTATTTTTTTTTTAATTATATAAAAAGATCATTCATCCCCTTTTCCGTTCCAAAATGCAGAGAAGCTTAAAAAGCCATCTCACTCAGTCACACACATGCAAATCATTGTCCATCCTCTTGTCTCCCATCACCAAATGGAGGAAGGATTATTATTTTTTTATATAAAGGCCATTTACTTTTTATCTATAAAGAAAAAAATCCCTTATTTTTTTACAGCACTTTACCATTTCTTGAACTTATCATATGAGGATATATTTACCTTTTATCTGAATCTGAGATGAAGGTTACTTTAGAAGGAGTAGCGTGATTCATTGGATCATTTTGCTTGTGATGGAATCAGTCTCTTAGGCCAAATATTTCTATGCTTACCATGAAGCTGACAGTTTAAAAGGAGCATAAAATGTTATGAAATATTTACTTGCATTCTATTTCATCCATTTTGGATGAATTCTTATCTGAAGAAAAGATAATAATATTTGTATTTGATTAATTCCAGGGTTTTAGTGAAGAGCAAATGACAAAGCTAAAGAAAAGTGAGAAGTTCTCACAGGAAAGGGAAAGA